ACAACTGAAATTTCACAAGGTTGTAAACTATCATAATCTCAATAAAAAGTTAAAAAAAAATGGGAGTGAAAGACAGCTTTATTTCTCTCTCTCTCTCCCCTCCAATCACCCTCAATCTATCTTCCCTACCCCCACTCCAAAAAGGCACAGAGGGCAGGTCATTAAGTCTGATGCATAAGCATCCAACTGGGGAATGAGATATCTATCTCCCCTTTCCTGGTCGCCCCCCTCCAATGTTTACCGGGAACCCTGCTACACATGTCATTCTTCTGCTGAGGCCAATAGCTCACATCTCTAAAAGTTCATAAGGTCCCTCGAGTAGAGTATTCATATACACTAGACAGTGGAGAGAGAGGAAGGCAGGAGGGCTAGTTCTGACACCTTAGTAATCTTATGGAAATATGACTGATACATCCTTAGAAAGTGTCTGCAGAGTGTGGATGTACATGCTCTGGGTTTTGCTATTTGTTTGTTGCTGGTTTAGATGTTCGGTTGTTTGGTTGGTTGGTTTTGGGACTTTAGAAACAATTCCAAAATAACAATGACAAAAATATTCCTTCAATATTGTTACAGGTAGAAAAATGACTAGAAGGAAAGATACTAATATAGGACCGTGTTACAGCGTTTGTTACCACATGGCAATACTATAGGTATACTATCTAGGTATATTATTATGTCTAATATACTTATTATTACTATAGGTATATTATTTCCTTTTCACCTTCTGATTTTTTCTAAGTTTTAAAGAGAGAATACATTTGAAATTAAGGGGAATATTTAAAATGATATTTAAATATAATGTATACATTTTCATATTAAAGTGATGGGGGAGTTATTTTTTATTTTCTTAGCTTTATTAAGGTATAACTGACAAATAAGACTGTACATATTTAAAGTGTACAATGTGATGATTTGACGTACATATACTTTGTGAAATAATTACTACAATCAGGTTAGTTAAACATCTATCACCTCACATAGTTACCTTATTTTTGTGTGTGGTGAGAACATTTAAGTTCTACTCTCTTAGCAAATTTCAAGTCCACAACACAGTAGTATTAATTACAGTCACTATTCTGGACAGTAGATCCCCAGAGCATATTCATCTTATAACTGAAGGTTTGTACCCTTTGCCAACATATCCCCATCTCTCCCATCCCCCAGCCCCTGCTAACCACCATTCTATTCTCTGTTTCTACAAATTTGGCTTTTTTAGATTCCACATATAAGTGATATCGTACAGTGTTTGTCTTTGTCTGGCTAATTTCACTTAGCAAAATGTCATCTAGAGTCCTCCATGTTTTTGCAAAAGGTAAGATTTCCTTCTTTATCATGGCTGAATAATATTCCACTGTATGTGTCTACTACATTTTCTTTACCTATTTGTCTGTCAGTGGACACTTAGGTTGTTTCCATATCTTGGCTGTTGTAAACAATGAAGCAATGAACACGGGAGTGCAGATATCTCTTCAAGATACTGATTTTAATTCTTTTAGATAAATGCCCAGAAGTGTGATTGTGGGATCCTATGGTAGTTCTATTGTTAATGTTTTGAGGAACCTCTATACTGTTTTCCACAGTGGCTGCACTAATTTACATCCGAGCACCAGTGCACAAGTGTTCCCTTTTCTCCAATTTCTTGCCAGTACTTGTCATCTGCTGTCTTTCTGATAAAAGCCATCCTAACAGGTGTGAGGGGATACTACATAGTGGTTTGATTTGCATTTGCCTGATGATTCATGATGTTGAGCATCTTTTCATGTGCCTATTGGCCATTTGTATGTCTTCTTTGGAAAAATGTCTATTCAAGTCCTTTGCCCATTTTTTAATCAGATTATTTGTGTTTATTTTTTGGTTGAGTTGGTACAAGTTCCTTTTCATATGAAAGTGATTGAACAGACGTGCCCATCTACTGTCATAAACGAGATTAATTGTCAATATACAGAAAGCGTCCAGGCACTGGCAGATTCTTCACTGCCCAGACAAATCAAGAAAAAGACTTTTTCTTTTGGAAAAATAGGTTTAACCGACATAGCTATACACATACGCACACATTGGTTCACATATATAGAGTTCTCATTCAATTTTCACAGAGTCAAGGGAAAAGACATTTAAGTAAGTCTCCTTAAAACCAGGGCAAAATTTTGTATGTATGGCAAAAAATGTATGAATGAGACTTTACTTTGAAATATAAAATCTAAAAATACAAAAATAAATTTATCTTCTTTTAATGAAATAGAGGATATATTTAGAACTATAAGCCAATTCCTAGAATTTACAAAAAAATGAATCCATTGTAACTGTTTTTAAAAAATTTTTAAACTATTCACATAAAATTGTATGATGCGTTTTCACCTTAAGCTTGACAGCAGGATCATACAAGAGGGTTGGTTCTTCGAAATATTACTCAAGTCTTCATCTATTTTCCCAAAGGACCTTTCTTAATCCTTTGAAATTCAAATCATCCTCCTTTGAAGAACTTATCCAGTCATCATGCTTGTCACTTTTTGCTTCAACTGTTAACTTGTCTAACTCTGCCAGATCCCCATTTACCAATGGCTTTGCATGTGATTACAGCAGTTCTCAAAAAGCATTTTCCACAGACTTCAGAGCTGCTTGTAAAATTGGCAATTGCACCTTAACATCCATTAGGATTTTATTTGCAAAAATTGAATGTGCACCTTTCTATGATCACCGATAAAGACAATGACTAACACGCAGTACGTTTGGTGGAAAGGGATAAATATGTTCATGTTCTGAACACTCTTATTTCTCTGATAACACCAAATAAAGGCAATTGGATACTGACCATTAGGACAGTGAGGAGCCCTGTCCTTGTGGGTGTGAGTGTGCGTTAAACCCCTGGGCCACGAGAGCCCTGTCTAATTACTGGTAAAACTTCTGGTGCCAAAATTGAGTAAAACAAAGTAAGCATCCTCTCCTATTTTCAGTCCCAAAACACGTAAATAGACAGGGAGACTTAAATCAGACCTTATTACATATAATAGTCAGAAAATCATCTAGCCCGGGAATTCAAATATACTGCTGAGTATTTTAACTAGATTGGAAAAAGGGAATAGAAATTTAAGTTGAAAATATGGGATATTTTAGGAGGAGAAAAAATTTTTAGAGATACTTAAGTATGTGTGTTCAGAGGACTTATGTTGTGAACAGCTAATATGCAGCATAAATATCCTGATTAGGAGAGGAGAAAGAAATAGCCAAAGAGGTACAAAGTACAGAAAGCAAAATTTGATCACTTTGAAGACCAAATGGACCTAACAGACAAATATAGGACATTCCACCCAACAGCAGGAGAATATACCTTCTTCTCAAGTGCAATGGAACATTCTTCAGGATAGGTCACATGTTAGGTCACAAAATAAGTCTTAACAAATTTAAGAAGTCTGAAATCATGCCAAGTATCTTTTCCAACCACGACTGAATGAAGCTAGAAATTAATAGCAGAATAAAAAATGGAAATTTAACAAATATGTGAAAATTAAACAGCACACTCCTTAATAACAAATGTGCCAAAGAAGAAATCAAAAGAGAGATTAGAAAATGCCTTCAGACAAACAAAAATGAAAACACAACATACCAAAACTTATGAGATATGGAAAAAGCCAGTAATAAGAGGGACGTTTACAGCAATAAATACGTACATTAAAAAGAATAAAATATCTCAATAAACAACCTAACTTTACATCTCAAGGAACTAGAAAAGCAGAACAAACTAAGCCCAAAGTTAGCATAGGAAAGGAAATAACAAAGATTAGAATGGAAATTTTAACAAAAGGACATTAGAGACTACTATGAAAAATTACATGCCACCAAGTGGATAACCTAGAATAAGTGGATGTTAGGATGGCCATTATTAAAAAACAAAAGATAACGAGTGTTGTAGAGGGTGTGGAAAAATTAAAACCCTTGTACACTGTCAGTGGGAATGTAAAATGGTCCAGCTGCTATGGAAAACAATATGGAGGTTCTTCAAATATTAAAAATAGAATCGTCTTGGGGCTGGCCCAATAGTGTAGTGGTTAAGTTCGCACAGTTCACTTCGGCAGCCCAGAGTTCACAGGTTTGGACCCTGGGCATGGACCTATGCACTGCCGATCAAGCCGTGCTGTGATGGTGTCCCACATACAAATAGAGGAAGATTGGCACAGATGTTGTCTCAGCGACAATCTTCCTCAAGCAAAAAGAGGGAAGATTGGCAACAGATGTCAGCTCAGGACCAATCTTCCTCACACACACGCAAAAAAGATATTGAAAAAAAAAAAAGAATTACCATGTCATCTAGCAATCCCACTTCTGGGTATTTATCAAAAAAAATTGAAACCAGCATCTCAAAGAGATATTTTCACTCCAACGTTCATTGCTCCATTATTCACAACAGCTAAGATGCAGAAACAACCTAAATGTCCATCAGTGGAAGAATGGATTTTTTAAAATGTGATATATACATACAATGGAATATTATTCAGCCTTTGAAAAGAAAGAAATCTTGCAATACGCAACAACATGGATGAATCTGGAAGACATCATACTAAGTGAAATAAGACAGTCACAGAAAGAAAAGTACTGTATGATTTCACTTACATGAGGTATCTAAAGTAGCCAAACTCATAGAAGTAGAGAGTAGAATGGCAGTTTCCAAAGGAGGTGGAGGAAGAGGAAATTTGGAGTTGCTATTCAAAGGATGTAAAGTTTTGGTTATAAAGATAAATAAGTTCTAGAGATCTGCTGTACAATATCAAGCCTATAGTTAACAATATTGGATTGCACACTTAAAAAATTGTTAAAAGGGTAGGGACTGGCCTGGAGGTGTAGTGGTTAAGTTCCTGCTCTCCACTTCAGCGGTGCAGGGTTCCCCAGTTCGGATCCCAGGCATGAACCTATGCACCGCTTATCAAGCCATGCTGTGGTAGGCGTCCCACATATAAAGTAGAGGAAGATGGGCACGGATGTTGGCTCAGGGTCAATCTTCCTCAGCAAAAAGAGGAGGATTGGTGGCACACGTCAGCTCAGGGCTAATATTCTTAAAAAAAAAACAAAAACAAAAATTGTTAAAAGGGTAGATCTCATTTTAAACGTTATTATAATTTTTTAAAAAATTGACTACTTTGAAATGTTACCTATAGACCTCAGAGTTCACACACACACGTCACCCTTATTTTCAGGCAGTGCCTAATTTTAATATTAATTTATGCAATAATTATTTACTAAATTCTACATTGTGCTAGACTATTTTAGACAATGAGATACAACCTAATGAGACAGGTTTAATTTTAAATTCCTCCTGCATAGAAATGGAGTTTCACTATTTCTAGCATTATTTTCTATCTCAGTAAATCTAATCTCTTCTAAACATTTTCAGACTCCTTATTAAGTTACTTTTGACTTATATAATTTACCAGAAAATTCATTAAATTGTTCATTAATTTTTCACCAATCTATGAACCTTATCACTGCAGTTTTTATTAGCTACGATATAATTAACTAGGTTTGACTTTTTAATTTTAGGGACAAGTCATTTACCTACACTATCAACAGTTTTATAATAATTACTTTTTTTCCTCCATCAGATTTCTTTCCCCATCAGCTCCAGTAATTAGAATTCCACACTTAATATCTCATTTATATCTGTCTTTTTTACTCTCAGTCTTTAAATATTGAATAGTTCGTGATTTTTAACTATCTATTTTAAAGAAATCAGTGGTAGTAAATATATTACAGACATGTCCAATAACAGAAAAATTTGAGTGTGGTTTCCTGACATTTATATCACATATACCAATCAGCTATCAACTTCATTCATGTAGTGAAATATAAATTGAATGTTAGCGATTCTTGGCAGGTAGAAACAATGGTGACACGATGTCATCTCTCTTGAAACACATATGAATTCATTGAACAGTTAGCTAACGTTAGTCCTGCCAGCAGCTTCATGCATTCCTTCTGAGATCTGTTTCCTTTAAAAAGTTAGAGACCAAAACTTAGAACAATAACCAATATGGTTTCTTAAATAAAATTCTAGAATCTCCATACATTGTTTTCCCACAACGATGGAACAAAAGTTCTAAAAAGAAATAAATAAAATGGAGTCATGGGAGCTTTGCTAAAGCTAAGAATTCAGGTCACTAAATCATTCCATCAATTTAGGCTTGACCTAAGCTATACCTAAAATATTTCCCTTTCTGAGATTTAAAAATTTTGAAATTATGAGTTTAAATGGCAATTATCCACATTGGTTTTTTTTTCTTCTTTTGCTTACAGCATTATAATCAGGATTTACAGCCAGTGTCTTTAGATGAAACATCCAGTGTAATTCTAATGATGATTAGTCTTTTCAAAATAAAAATCTTTAAATAAAATATACTTAATTAAATTGAGGAAAATTCCAATGAAGTCAAGATAAATTGCTTTCTGAAGAGCTAGATGCTACATGAAAATTAGGAAGTAAAATTTGTGTTGTATTGAAAAAGAAATGGGAACCATTTGAAAAATATTTCAGAAGAGTCTTCTTTTTACGGTGCCCAATAGCATGAATTGAACGTGCCGTGTGTCCACTTGGTGCCAATATAAACACTATGTAGTATGTATTTCATTCGTGATTTTTCAGTCTTCCAATTTAGAATATACCTAGGGTATCACTATATTCAAAGATTACAAAACAGCAGAAAATCAAAGCTAAGCATGTCATCTACCATACAACAACAACACAGAAAACTATTTTTCTGCCAAAGACACTGAAACTCAAAATTATAAGAAAAAAATTAAAAGTTAGAAATTATCTGACCTGAGAAATTTTTCAAATATCTCATATCACAAATGTCAACAAAAATAGGTCTGCTTTGAAAAAGAGATGATTCTTCACATTTTCAAGGCTTCACGTTTAGATAAACCAGAGATTTTTCCAACAGTTTTTTCATATTTGCTAAAGAATTTTCTAGCATTTTAAAGCAGCCTTGGAAGTGAGGATTTTTTAGATTAAAGAACATATGCCAGAAAGTGGATGTGGCAATTAGCATGTGAATAGTTTATATCTGAATATATTTTGCCAGTAAGAAAACATGAATTCAGTACCAACAGAAGGTAAAGTATAAAAACATGTAAGATATATTTACAAGAGTTTACAACTCTTTGATAAAATATGTATATACAGATATACACGTATTTATGTACATACATATATGTTAACTATAAACACAAAGCGAAATGAGTATGTTATGGACTGAATATTTGTGCCACCGCCAAAATTCATACGTTAAAGACCTAATCCCCATGCTGGCTATCATTAGTGACAGGGCTTTTAAGGAAGTAATTAAGTTTAAATGAAGTCATAAGGGTGGGGCCCTGATCCCATAGCATTAATGTTCTTATGAGACACCAGAGAGCTCCCTCTCCCTCACTCCGTGTGCGCACAGAGGACCCAGTGGGAAGGCGGCCGTGTGCAAGCCTGGAAGAGGGTTTTCACCAGGAACCAAACCCAGCAGAACCTTGATCTGGGATGCTGAGCCTCAAGAACTAGGAGAAAATAAATTTCTGTTGTTTGAGCCATGCAGTCTGCAGTATTTTCTATGATAGCTTAAGTAGATTAATGCAAAATGAATGCCCAAAGAATAGCAGAGACAATCTGTGCTGAGCAACGACGTATGGGGTGAATGAGATCATCGCAGGCTGCAGGAGGAAGAGAAGATCTTCTGTGGAGGAGGGAACCTATCTGTGGAACGATTTGGAGATGGACGACAGTATCAGTGGTAAAATGATTGCAAATTATAAAGGTGAAAACTGAGTATTTTCAGGAGACGAGTACCCATCGCTCTCAGATAGAGGTTCATAGTTCAAGTGCAGTGAGACAGAAATGCAGAGATAAACAAACACTTCCTGTTCTACCTCATCTGATCCTCCACCAAAAGAACTGAATCAGCTCAGGAGACATTCCCTGGGTGACAAAAAGAATATCCATTTGAGAAGTGTGTGCTCATGGGCTAACACGGCATCCTGGAGCTGGAAAGAACCCAGCGTTTCTTGCCCAGTCAAGTGGCCCCATTGTCCTTAAAGGACAAGAGCAAGGCAGATCCCGCAAATGGACAAGAAATCTCTCCTCTCTATAGCCAGGCTACATCGTCCAAGAACAAACACACAAACAAATGTGTAGGTATTTCTTTGAAGACATGCACTTATTTAACTAGGTCACCAAGTGAAAACACTAGTAAGGCCACAGGAAGAGTCGACAGGGATTGGAATTCTCTTTCACCCTTCCTCATAAAATAGAGCCCGTTGTATGCCTGGAGCCTGAGACAGCATGGAGGTGAACAGCAGATTTCATCCAGCCAAAGTCCAGGGTCTTACTTAAAAGCAAGAGCTCAGAAAGCACAGAATCACGTCTACTCTTGTGGAAAGGTGGGAGGGTTCCCAAGAGAAAGATTTGTGCAGAGACACTCGAGGAGCTAGTGTAAATGTAGTGTCCCAGTGAGGCAGGACTTCAACTCTATTGTCACTTCCTTCTGAGAATGCCCTACCGTGGCGCATAAGATCTTCCGCTACAACATTAGTCTGATGAAGGGGCAGGGTAGTCGGGGTTAGTGGGGACATGGTTATTCCACTGCAGTTATTCTGGGCTCCAGCAGAGAAGAGGGGCTTTGGCTCCTCCGGTCACCACTGGCTGTAACCACAGAGTCAGTGAAAGAGAAACTTACAAGAAGCAGGAGGCAGGAAGAGCAAACTTTTAATTGCTACCAAGGTTTATTAAAGACTATCCTTTGAGGGAAGCCGAGGGGTGGGGGTGCAGAGAGGCAGCAACATCTCTGTTACAGTAAGTTAAACAGGCAGTTTGGAAAGCAATAGCACAGCTTTTAAGCAATTAATAAGTAAGAACTGCATTGAACTAAAACGCTCTGTTAATAAATGCTCACGATTCCACAAAGGCATGATTAATCTTTGTTCGTTTCTCCAGTCCAACCAACACGTCTTTTTCTTAAATTCCCCTTTGTACTAGTTCTTCCACATGCAGCAGCTAACTAGAAGAGTGTCAGCTCTAATTGGATGATGGTTTGGAGGCTTCAAATCACCCGGAGGTTAAGTAATGTAGCACAGAGCCTGTGTTATTCAAAGGGAATGTTTTAATATACTGGGAGAAATGAGGCGACACAGAGGCTGTGTGAACTCTGGCAGACATGCCACCCTGAAGAAGCTCTGTATTGTCTCCAATACCTTAAGTTCAGCAGTTTTAATTCCCACCTCTGTGCGATGTTTGACAGTTCATTCATTTAGAGAGCTTCAGGGATGCACAGGTGACTCAAGTTCAGATAGCTATTTTAAGGATATGTCGCTTCTGTTTATTTTTTAATGCTAAGGAGAACACACTGAGTGAGTCAGAGGGAGACCTTTTGCACACAAAAGAAACTGTTCTTTCAAAAAGGAGAATGTTTTGACATTTAGAGACTAAGCACTTTGGGGGATAGACTTCCTTAAGGCTGAAACATTGATCCGTAGCAAAGTTAAACAGAGTCCAACCACATAGCACCCTCTCTGAAGGCTGGGTTTGCAAAGACTCAAGGCTGTAGAGCAGGGCCCAGGCTAACTCTGTCAACCTTTTTATATTATTCACTGCATGTTGCCTCCAGTATGCCTCTTCATCCAGGCTGCAAAGGGGGTTTATGAGCTTCATCTTGATTTCAGTTAGAAACATTACCAAAAATTGAAGTTAACAAAGTTGACAGAGGAGACTATGCTCTTCACGCCAGATGAACAGATGGAGGAAATAGGTCTTTGCCATACAACCCACAGCATTTTCCTACGTAAACATAGTGGGGTTATTGGTCAGCTCTCAGGGATTAGGGCTGCACTGGAACTGATTAAGGAGGTAAACAGAAGATGAGGGAATGAGCCAGACCATTTGTGAGTGGAGGGGTAGAAACCAGGAAGAACTGAGGTCAAAGATAGCAAGGGTAGCGAACAAGGTCTCAGAACCAATCATAATACATCCAGTAGCTACATTCTTAAGAAAAATATGTCTATCAAAAGTAGTTCATA